AACGATGCAAAAATAGTTGCACATATTATTTGACAATACTTGTTAATGACTTGATCATAGGGGGTAGCTTATATATCCCCTTTGATGTTTACTCCCTGCTTCAGAGTTATCCAATTTCAATAAGAAAAACAAATTTACTTCTTGTCACTTGAATTTGAATGTGGTGGAATTTGTGTGAACTTAAAGTTCAATTTCAATAAACTATTTTGTTTTCTTTTTCTTTCTCTGCATCCTTTGTTTTAATAACAACAAATATTCTAGACAATATATCCTGTTGGAACGTTATTTTTTGTTATTTATAGGTCACATTGTTATTTGGAAAGGACTTGAATAGTGGATTTAGAAAATATGTACGACTTGACGATGTTATCTTAGTGAACTACTTAGTTATATCATTCAGTGTGACTTGGAACTATGAAGAAACAGAGAAGGAGACAACCAAACAAGTAGCTTAAAAAATAGCTCAAACTTTAAATTTGAGGATAAAAAGCCTTTTTTTTTTTTTATGTATGTGTATAATTCATGTCCTGATTCTTCTTGCGCTTTAAACCTCTCGCCCAGAAAACTGGCTTTCATTTTGTTTAGCCATATGATATTGAACAAAGTTAATCGAATAATTTTTTTTAAAAAATATTAATAAAAATTATAATGAGTAATAATATATGATATTTGTAAAATCATTACGTCTTGGAAATATCAATTCAAAAGTGAGGGCTCACAATTTAAACTTAAAGCATGTAAATACATGAAAACTTATATGTAATAGTCCTCACCCTATCTCACCAGAGGTCTTTTGGACTGGGCTCCAACACTCCTCAAGAAGCCCAAGTTGGCTTTTTTCAAGGTGGTACTTAAGTTATTCCTCATCCCACCAAAGAGAGCTTTTGGAGCCTTCCCATACTTGAACCTCCAACCTCTACCATCTTAAGGAAGTTGAGGCTAAGTCTGGTACCGTTGAGTCACCTTTTATGTAATAGTTCTCATCCCACCCCACCGGGAGTCTTTTGGATTGATTAACCACTCGCGCAGTGGGCCCAGCTTTCCCCAAGGTGGCTACAAGAAAGCAATAATTTTCTCTTAGAATAAATATTAGAGAGAAGTTTTCACAAAATTTCTTTCAGAAAGCCTCTTCAAAAAATTAATTATGAAATTTCTCATAAAAACCCAAATAGAGAGAAATTATGAGAGAATGATGTGAGAAAATTAGAGAGAAAAAACCTACTTCATGGCGGGAAAATTTTCTCTCAGTTTAATCCGTGAGAAATGTTTGATAAAAATAAAAAATTAATAACAGAAATAATAAATATAAAAACTCATTAAGTTTCTCTCAAATTTGCTTGAGAGAAGATTTCTTTCAAAAAGATCCTAGAGAAATTTAATGAGTTCTCTCCAACAATATTGAGAGAAATGTTCTCTTGAAAAAAGTCGAGAGAAATTTCTCTCAAATTAAGGTGAGAAAAATATTCTCTCAACTTTGTCTAAGAGAAAATTTCTCTTAAACCAATCAAAGAGAATTTCTCTCAGGTTAAGTCAAGAGAAATGTTTCTCTTGAAACAAACAAACAAAAATATTTCTCAAATTATTTAAAATTTTCTCTTAAAACAACTTAAGAGAAATTTTAAAATTTCTCTCAAATCTTTCTAAGAGAAACTTTTTCTCAAAATTTATCATGAGAAAATTTTAAATTTCTCTCAGATTTTTCTAAGAGAAACTATAAAATAGATATTATATATATTATTACCTATTCAATACATATTATGTATATTATTGAATGAGATGGTAAAAAATGCGACAAAAGTAATTGTAAAACAAGAGGGGGAAGAAACTAATAGGGATTAGGTCTAATATTACAATGTGAGAAGTTAAAGTTTGAATCACTACTCAAACCTATATTAAATACTTATATGCAATAAAAAAACAACAGGGAGTAGACATAGAAAACATGAAATAGTATTAATAAACTAATAATTATTTATATATAGAGAGAGAATCTATGTTAAAGTATTATATAATATATATGATTATGATTTATATAATAATATCAATATTAATTTATCATACATTCACTGACATCTATAATATATAAGTTTGCTGAAAAATTTATCAATAGAATTAAATTGTATTATATTTCACTTTTCCAATTGAGAAAAATTATTTATATATATAATATAACTTATTTAGTTTAAAAATATAAAAAATGAAGTTACTCTAATAAACAATATTAAGTTGTAGTCTTATTGATTGCAAGAATAACATGCAAGCATATTAAATAATTTTATAAAAATATTTTTAAAATACTTAAAAATTAAATTGAAAAATTTAAAATTTAAAATAAATTATATAAATTAAAAAAATTTAAAAATTGATATAAATAATTTAATTTTAAATCAAGTTAAATTAAATAATATATTATAAAATTACCGATTATATTATTAAAAAAATTGAAATTATTTTTTGAGGTCAAATAAATTAAAATAATTTAAAAATATGCTATATTATAAATTAATTTTTTAAAATAAAATAATATAAAATTTATAAAATTATATAGTTTAGTAATATATATTTAATTTTGTTAATTTAAGACATCAAATTCATTGTAGCTCAACTGGCAAAATAAATACAAGCCTCAAGGTAGGCACTAAACATGTGGGAGGGGATAAAATTTAATTTTTAATGTTATCTAAATTTCTCATAGAATTTCTCACGGAACATTTTCAAGAGAAACTTCTCATGAAAAATTTTGAGAGAATATATCTCTCGAATAAATTCGAGAGAAGTTTCTCTCAGATTTTATCAAGAGAAGTTCTTTCAGATTATTCCATGAGAAACATTTTTCTCTAGAATTAATCTGAGAGAAATTGTTTCTTTCAGAATAATTTGAGAGAAAATAAAAATTTCTACAAATTTTAACTCACTGAAATTTTTTGAGAGAAAATCCAAGAGAAATTTCTTTTTTCATGGTTTTTCTATGTTTTCTCTCATAATAATTTTGAGAGAAATGTGCTATTTTGTTGCAGTGTACTAACTCTTGTTTTTATTTATAGAAGAGCTTCCATTGGTTATATATTGGCTAGTGTATCTTGTGCCCTTTTCTAAATGAAGGATTAGGATTATACTAATTAAATGTGCTAAACTTGTACCATTTTTTATATTCATTACATGTTTTAGGATTTGTTGAAGACAAAATCAGGAAGAGAAACAATCATGGCAAACCCAGAGGAACTAGGAGGAATGGCTACTTTTAGTGTAATTCAGAGTTAAAAGGAAACAGAGAAGGAAGTCGGAAAAGTAGTTCCTACCTCAAAGTTACCATCAACAACCCCATCTGATTATGAGGTGAAATTTTTGTGTTTATTCTTTAATTTGTTTTGAAGGGACCATTTCTAAATGCAAACATTGTTGGAAGAATAATTAGTCAAATAGAGTATATAGAGATAAATTGCATTGCATGAATTCATGAACTTGTTTGATTGAACAAATTTTATCATGTTTATGTTATCCAGAGCTGAGAAACAGGAAAAGAAGCTGTTCGCATGGTCCTTACTTTAGGGTTATCAGTGGCTACAACTTCATCAAATTTAGAGGTTGTAAAAGTTAAAACTGACAAATTTTTTTTATAACATCCATTGGCTAAACCACAAGCACTTGCCTAAATATTGGAAGAAATGACAACTGTTATATACTCTCTTTTAAAAAAAAATATTTAAGGAGAAAAGGGTTTTAATTAAATAACCAAATACTTACATGTCCTTGTTGTATTCGTACAGAGTAGAATTGAAAGTATTCGTGAAGACACTACACCTATGGAAGATAAAATAGATGCTTCTTCAATTAGTTCACAAGCAGAAGGATCCCCATCAAGTCCATCGGTAAATGTAATTTTATTTGTAGTGTTCATGTTAAAACCATTAATTACATCTATATTTTTGTTATTTATACATTTAAATTGTTTCTTGGAAAATAATTGAATATTGGATAAGTAAGATCAATGAATTAGTGAATTGTTGCTCTAGTAAACCATTCAATTATTTATTATATCCTTAGGTATCAATCCAATTCATAAGAAATTGTGAAGGAGGCTGGCAAAGTATAGTTGTAATTACTTCAAAATTACCAACAAAAACCACATAATTTAATTAAGTGAAGATTTGATAAAAGACATTGGGGATGATAAAATTTTTAATCTTCAAGTTTGTCTCAATTATTAATTTGGTCCCTCAAGTTTAGTCTTTATCAACTTTGTCCCTTATGTTTTTTAAATTATCATACTGTAAGTCCTTTAAATTTTAAAATACAAATTTACTCTTACATTAATCTAACGTACAAAGTATTTTGATAATTTGGCATGCATATGTAACTAAATAAGAATGACATTACACTCAAATTTTATTTTATTTTTTTATTAATCTGGTCCTTTACATTACATTTTGTTATTATTTTTTTTAAATTTTTGAGTATGGTTTTTAGACCTAAATAATTATAATTCTTTTCATTAATTTACATGGTTACCATTAATATTTTATTAAACTAACTGTATATTTGGTTTTCAATTTGTCAAAAGCAAGTTTGATGAAAGTTCATTTGGTAAAAGTCAGTTTAGAAAAAGTCAGTTGTTATAATAAAATTTATATTTAAATACATTTTCTTAAAAGTCAGTTTAGCAAACTAAAAGTTGTTTGGATTAATAAAAATTTATGCTTTTGAAATATGCTTTTGAATATGCAATGACTAAAAAGGATATTGATTTATGATAATTAATAATTTTTATTATACAAATGTAATATATTAAAAATGTTAAAAAAAATGCAAGGATAAAAATATACAATTTAATATTGGAATAAATTATGTAATCATTTTACTATTTATGTATTTTATTTATTTATTTTACTATTTATTATTTACTATTTATGCATTTTATTCATTATTTATTTTCAATCTATGAAACCTTTGTGTTTTTAAACTGTTCCCCAGTGCTTTTATTTTTCTTTCCATTAGATATTAATATTTTGGGTGTGTAGGTGGAAAAGTCAAACCTTTGAAGTAACCCAAGTCTGACAAAAAATGAGGAGCTCGAGCAGAGATGGGAATGAATTAGTGAAGACAAAAAATGAGGAGCTCAAGCAGAGATGGGAATGAATTTGTGAAGACATGAGTCCGTTGCACGACAAGAATGAAAAAGTAATTGAGGGTATCATAGTCAAATGTAAAGTTAGGTGCCATTCTTAATGCTTCATATTCACGTTTTTGTTTCAAAAGCTACCTAATGGAACTTTCAAAATTCTCCGTTTTAGCTGGATTGAAAAGTTATTTTAAAAAGTACTTTTGCCCTCACAAAATTATCCCAAACAACATTTTATATTTCCAAAGTAAAAAGTTACTTTTGAAATGTGAAATGGTAGTTACCCAAACGATGCCTAATTGAAGTTGAGTTACAATAATGCCATGTGTTGTATCTTCACATATTTAGAGGCGTTCAGAATGGAATCTGACCATATGAAAAACTTGAAAGAGTATGTTTATGAAGTTTTAAATGGATTTGTGTAACTTTGATATACATTTTTACTTGGTTTGATAGGAAGAGGATGAACAACCAAGGACTAAGCCAAATTTGACAGATCAATTTACTTGTAGAGAAGGAAAAAGTGAAATCAGAATTCATCTTCCTCATCAAACAAAGGTATACTTTATGATCCAAATGTACGTAGAACTTTATAATATTATTGGAAGAGAACAATCAGTGAAAGAGAAGCTTTTTTCTTGGTAAAATTTTTAATCTTCAAGTTTGTTTCAATTATCAATTTGTCCCTCAAGTTTGGTCTTTATCAACTTTGTCCCTTGTGTTTTTTAAATTATCATACTGTAAGTCCTTTAAATTTTAAAATACAAATTTACTCTTACATTAATTTAACGTATAAAGTATTTTGATAATTTGGCATGCATATGTAACTAAATAAGAATGACTTTACACTCAAATTTTATTTTATTTTTTTTATTATTCTAGTCCTTTACATTATATTTTGTTATGTTTTTTTTTTAAATTTTTGAGTATGGTTTTTAGACCTAAATAATTATAATTCTTTTCATTAATTTACATGGTTACCATCAATATTTTATCAAACTAAGTGAAGTTGAGTTACAATAATACCATGTGTTGTATCTTCACATATTTAGAGGCGTTCAGAATGGAATCTAACCATATGAAAAACTTGAAAGAGTATGTTGTTATGAAGTTTTAAATGGATTTGTGTAACTTTGATATACATTTTTACTTGGTATGATAGGAAGAGGATAAACAACCAAGGACTAAGCCAAATTTGACAGATCAATTTACTTGTAGAGAAGGAAAAAGTGAAATCAGAATTCATCTTCCTCATCAAACAAAGGTATACTTTATGATCCAAATGTACGTAGAACTTTATAATATTATTGGAAGAGAACAATCAGTGAAAGAGAAACTTTTTTCTTGATTTTTAGGTTTCTAGTGCAAAAGAAACACATGAACACGGCTCTAAAAGGAATGTTGCAACAAATGAAGCTATAATGGCAATTCAATCAAGTGATCTAGAGTCATTGAAGCAATTTAGAGCATCATTCATGATTGCACAAGTAAATGCATTATTCTTCTTAATATAGAATCTTTCTAGTAAAAAATAAAAATTAATATAGAATCTGATGTAGCTACATGGTTTTCACTTGTGCTTATTATAATTATGGGAATTATAATGCTAAAACAATTGCATAAAAAATTTTACAGAGCTTATCAGTAACTTTAAAATAGTAAGAAAATAGCATAAAATTGCCACAAGATTTCCAATTTACTCATGTTTATGAACTTTCACATTAGCAGTAGTCACACACACACACACACACACACACATTTGTGATAGAAGTCTCACCAAAGAAAATATATTAGATGGCTTAATCTTTGAATTGCTGAAATTATTTCTTTTATTAGACTAAAAGACTTGTATCACGTAAAGAGGTAGAGGAGAATTCATTAATGAATAAGCAGATAAATTATATTCTATGAATCATTGAAGTTTTTCATCAAATAAATTTTATGATTTTTTATGTTATTTAGAGCTTAGATAAAGAGAAAGGGCCTATTAGATTATATGCTTCACTGTTATCAATGGCTATAATTTCAACAAATTCTGAGGTGAATAAAATGGCATTACTCCCTTGTATTTGTTTTTTTAATGGTTCATGAACATTCAATGACTAAACAACATACCTTTAGATTCTTGGTTTTTGAACATGCATGGAAAAATAGAACTACACAATATACATTGTTTTTAGTGTCTTTCATAAAGTTGCAAAATCTAATGGTAGTATTCTTGCACTAATGCGGCATGTAAAACTGCAACTTATTTCTTCCTACTTTTATGTTACCTAGGGCACCAAAGATACAATGAAACAAGGTCTTGAAAAGAATTATGCAAAAGATGATGTCATGACAGCAGTTCACTTAATTAGTAATCTCTTAGGAAAAGATTCTGTACAAGTAAGTTTGTTGCCCTTTTTTATCCATAGAAGTTGAAGTATTCTGAAAAAATGATTGTAACATATTATTGATGTAGAGAAATAAGGAAGCAGTGAAAGACATTGTTGATAATGTTAGTGCTATAAACACATCACCAGAGACAACTCCATTTGACTCAGAATTCATTGGAGCACTTGTATGTCTTTTGAACTTTCTTAACATAGTTGTAAACAATAATTCATTTTAAAATACAAAATCAAATGAAGGAACCTGAAATTTTTTTTTTTTCATTTTGTGCAGGATACTGAAGAAGCAAAAGATTCTAGTGTTCAAGAGGAACATAAATAAGAGAATTCCACAAAAACAATCATCCCTAATGCTATTCCTTCTCTCCATCATCGTAAGTGTCTCTCTTTACGTGATAACTTTACACTTTTTCTTTAAACATTACTTTGCCAACTTTCTTGACTGTGACAGAAACACAAAATGAAGATTCTAGCCCTTCTGCTCCTATATAAAGGATTTGTGACATGGCTTTACTTGCACAAGCACTCAAACAATATCCTCACCTAGTGCTACCTCATGAGCACCTTACCAATCGAATAACATCACTATACTATAGAGTGCTTGATAGGAAGAAAATTAAAAAGAAATAAATGAAGATATTACAAAGATATTGTAGATTTGAATATCGAAGATATTTTGCTCTCATATTAATTACATATATTTTGTTTTAATTTGAATTGATTTGAATTATTGTTATCTTTTAACATCTATCATTATCTTTTCAGTTATTGTTATTTTTTTATTTAATTTTAGAATTTCTTACATTTTCATGCACTTATTTCTAGGGTTGGGTTGAGGCCTTTAAATAGTACCTCAACTCATTTGATTTGTACGTACATTTGATTGAATAAGAATTACTATTATCTCGCATCTCCTCTGAGTTTTCTCTTCTCTCTATTATCTCTATTGATCCCTTTCTTTCTTTTATATATTCTCTCCCCCTTCTCCTTCCTCGTTCTACATAATTGGCATCAAAGCCAATGTTCCCACATCGCTTCTATTACCAAACCCACTCTAAAATACCTTCTCAGTACCATGAATCATCATACAGAAACGCTTTGGGAGATAAGTTTATAATTTAAGGCTCCTTAAGTTACTCAGTAAGGTTCTTTAATCCTAAATTTTAATCTCTAGGTCTTTTAGATATTATTACGGAGGTATTTACTTTGTTCATTTGCTACTTGTTTCATTTCCTAATTATTCTTGACTATTTTAATTTTCCTTCATCTCATTCCATTTACCATATTTCTTTCTTTTGCTCTTATTTTGTTTTGTTCCCTCCCTTTTCTTATTTTATTATTTTCCATATTTTCCTTGCTTTCCTTTGCTCCTTTGATTCTTCCTTTGACCCACGCTAAAAAAAAAGAGGCCAAAAAAAAGAACAAAAGAAACAAAAACGAAAAAGGGCAAAAAAGTTACTTTTCATAAAATTTTGAGTTTTAATTCCTTTACTAGTAAGCTCTTTTAACTTATATTGATTATTATCTATTTTAATTTGTTGCTTTATTATTCAGCATTATTCATATTTATAACCTTAGGACACAACCACCTCACACACAGTTCGGCCCTACACCTAGGTCAAATTTTACCCTAGATTAGTGGAAGTTTCTATCGGTTTTTCTAAGGGGTTTCTAGGCCCCCGGAGGTCACTGTGAATACATCACTCAAGTTGTTACTTATTTAGCAAGTATAATCCTTGAGGAGCTTTTAAGTTCTTGGAGGGTTAAATTTGTTAAATAGGATCTTTACCTTTTAGTGGAGATAACTTGGGGACCTTTTATCCAATAGGATATTAGACGTACCCTAAACCCTGCACGATAGTATAACACCTATTGACTTTGCATGAACATTCGAGACATTCTTGAAAATATGACCTGTTTGATCAAGAACTTACAACCATAAAATCCACTATGACTTAAACAATGAAAGCACCCTTGCTAACTTTCATAACCTTGAAAGGGCTATTAAAGAGTATGTAGGCCATTCAATTAGGGAGTCAACTCTTAGAAATGATGCTAAGATTGATGACTTAAGAGCCTTGGTTGGAGAAACCCTAGATACAGTTCACCTTTTAGGCCATTACAACACAAGCAAAGATAAAGAGGACCTACATCTAAACCCCAGGGAAGGTTTACTACCAAACCTTAATAGTAGTAAAATATCAAACCAACCTATCCTTACACCTGATCAACAGAGAGTACCTTATGTAAGTTTGCACCATTTCTCCATAAATGCTAATAATAGCCACCATAGAACATCCCCATGTATACCTAATACCTAGTAGTAAAATATCAAACCAACCTATCCTTACACCTGATCAACAGAGAGTACCTTACGTAGGTTTGCACCATTTCTCCATAAATGCTAGTAATAGCCACCATAGAACATCCCCATGTATACCTAATACCCACCAATTTGAAGATATAGATTATCTTTGGGATGGAGATGAAGTCATAGGAGACCTTTTTAGGAATGACGAGTTAATCCCTAGATATGGTCGAGATGTCCCTAGCCATGGTCATGTAGAGGACATCACTAAGAAAGTCAAGGTACGTAGATGCTCCTGAATTTGATGGTATATTAAATCTGACTACTTTCTTAGATTGGTTAGCCAACATGGAGGATTACTTTGAGTGGTACAATATGAATGACATCCAACAAATATGTTTTACTAAAATAAAACTCATTGGATCCACACAAAAATACTGGTAGACTATTCAAAGAAACTTGGTTCACCAACATCAACCGTCAATAACTACATGGGCTGAAATGAAGATGAAGTTGAAGGAAAAGTATGTGCCGGCTCATTATAGGAGTTAACTATTAGGTCAACTCCTTAATTTAAGATAAACCTCTATGGTTTCTGACTACATATCCCGTTTTGATGGCCTCACAATTTGATGTGACCTAAAAGAAGACCTTGTGACAACACTCACTAGATTTATTAATGGGCCTGGATCAGAAATTCAAAGAGAGCTCAAGATCAACTTTCCTAAAACCCTTGAGGAAGCTTACCATAAAGCTCATAAGATAGAATATTTATCTAGGCACCCCTCTGTTAGGCGACCTACCATGCAAGGCACAGAGTTTCGACAAACTCACAACCTTCCTCCTGCTAACCAAACTATAGGTTTTTCCCTTAAGTCAAGCTCTCAACTTCCTTCTGGTCAAACCTTTGATTTTAGGAGCAACATAAGGAAGCCTAATGAATCTATAGGTCCTAGTTCCCATCCTAACAGGTCAACTATTGAGTGTTTCAAGTGCCATTCTAAGTGTCATATAGCATTAAAATACCCATAATGTGCATGACTTCTTGAATCACAAGAGGATGATGTGGTTACTAAGGATATTTCTGATATAGTAGTAGATCCCACTGAGTGCCCCTCTAATGTGGATAAAGAGATTATTATGAAAGAGTATGAGTTAAGAAACCTTGGGGTAATGCAATATCTCCTATCTATCCCTATACCTAAGGACTCTTGGAAGAGGAATAATATTTTTCACACCTTTGTGAAATGGAGAGATAAATAGTGTAAACTAGTCATTGATAGTGGAAGTGAGAGGAATGTGATTTCTGGTCAGGGAGTAGCTCGACTTGGCCTTAAGATTGAGCCCTACCTAAAACCTTTTTGTGTAGCTTGGGTTAATAATACTTCCTTATCTGTTACTCAATAGTGTCGATTGTCTCTTTGCTTAGTAGATTATGAAGAAGAGATCCTTTGTAATGTCATTCCTATAGATGTTTCTCACATCTTATTAGGACACCCTTGGCTTAATCATGATGTCACTAGTCATGGTCGAGCAAACACTTATGTGTTTAAGCATAAAGGCAAAACTGTCCTACTACGTCTTGCTAAACCTGAATCAAAAGATAAGAGTCCTAAGAATCTACAGAACTCTAAATTAAAGCTCTAAGGCTTAAATCTCTTGACAAAGCAACAATTTACTCAAGAGTCTAAAGAGGCCAATGTTATCCTTATTATAGTCTCTAAGTTTTCTAGTAAGATTGCTATCCTAGCAAATATTGAGCTACCAAAGGAAATAGTCCGTCTCTTAGAAGAATTTAAGGACATCACCCCAGATGAGCTTCCTTCTAATTTACCACCTATGAGAGAAATCTAACATGCTATTGACTTAGTTCTAAGGTCACAACTTCCTAACTTGTCATACTATAAGATGAACCCTAAAGATAGGGAAGAACTTAATGGGCAAGTAAATGGTTCGTTAGAGAAGGGTTATATCCAACATAGTCTTAGCCTATGTGCTGTGCCTGCCTTGCTCACACCTAAGAAAGATGGAACTTGGAGAATGTGTGAATAGTAGAGCCATTAATAAGATCACCATTAAGTATAGGTTCCCCATTCCTAAACTTGAGGATATGCTTGATCTAGTTTCAAGTTCTAGTTGGTTTTCCAAAATTGATCTTCATAGCGAATACCACCAAGTTAGGATTATGCCAGGAGATGAATGGAAGACTGCATTTAAGACACAAGATGGATTATATGAATGGCTAGTCATGCCTTTTGGTCTAACCAATGCCCCTAGTACATTGATGAGGGTTATGACCCACATCTTTCGACCTTACTTGGGCCAATTTCTAGTTGTCTACTTTGATGATGTTTTAATCTTTAGCAAGTCCAAGGATGAGCACTGATCTCATCTCCGCCAAGTATTCTTTACCCTTAGGAAAAAAAAGTTTTATGTTAATTTTCCCAAGCACTCTTTTCTATAGAAGCAAGTTATTTTCTTAAGGTTCATTGTTTCTGAAAAAGGATTAGCTGCCGATCTTGAAAAAGTCAAGGCTATCTATGAGTGGCTTGAACCTAGATCTCTTCAAGAAGTGTATAGTTTTCATGGATTAACATCTTTCTATAGGCACTTTATTAGGGATTTTAAGACTATCATGAGCCCTATCACCGATTGCCTTAAAAAGGATGAATTTGATTGGACCGCTACCATATCATGAGCCTTTATGAACATTAAAGATAAATTATCTAAAGACCCTATTTTAGCCCTCCCTAATTTCTCCAAGTGCTTTAAAGTGGCTTGTGACGCTTCTAGAGTAGGAATTGGAGGTGTCCTCTTCAAGATGGTCACCTTATAGCTTTTTTTAATGAAAAGCTTAATGAAGCTAAGCAGAAGTATTTCACATATGATAAGGAATTTTATGCCATAGTTAAATCCTTTGAGTATTGAAAATACTATCTTCTCCTTTAACAATTTGTTGTGTATTCTGACCATCAAGCTCTTAAGTTCATAAACTCTCAATGCCATCTAAACCCCAAACATGCCAAACGGGTTGAATTCCTTTAAGAGTTTACTTTTGTTGTTAAGCACCGTGCAAGAATTGAGAACAAAGTTGCAGATGCTCTAAGTCATAGGGTTAACCTTTTGCATACTATGAGTGTCAATGTTATAGGCTTTGAAAGGTTAAAGGATGACTATACCTCATCCCTGACTTTAAAGTTATTTATCAAGAAGTTGGTAATAGAGCTCATCATAACCACACATATTTCCTTATTAAGGATGATTTCCTCTTCCGTGGCACTAAGTTATGTATTCCTCAAACATCTATGAGAGACTTCCTCATTTGGGAACTCTATGCGGGAGGATTAGTTGGTTACTTTGGTAGAGATAAAACTTTCACTTTAGTCAAGGATAGATTTTATTGGCCGTC